GGCGAAATCCACATGGATCAGCGGTCATGGTTTTTCTGGCTGTGGCCAAGGCTGCTATCGCTGTCAGTCGGGCAACTTCTGGGCATCTGCGCATCGGAAAGAGCCCCGACATACCTGCTCCATATGTTTATTAATACCGGGCTGATAAAAATAGCCGCCATCAAGGGACTTCAAGTGGCGTACCCATGGGTTTCGATTGTGTCCCGTGATCTGGTGGTGAAGCTTAGTGGGAGAAGACGGTCATTAAGATAATGAACTGCGTCACTGATGAAGTAGCCGGAGTTCTCCTGGTGATCAGGTTGTTAGTCAGCTGGTATTCTCTAGCGTGCTATATTGCGCTGCAATTTTTGATGGAATCGCGCAGCATGTCAAAAGTCACGCAAAAGTCCAACACTACAGCACGAACTTCGGGATTGACAACAACGACTGATACGACAGTAGCTTCCGTCTCCATTAACGAGTATGAATCTAGCCTGAAAACGCATCGATCTGTCCAATTTTCATGGTCGAGGCACATTTATGTTTGTAGCCAAGCAGAATCGTCCCCGGTCGTTCTTAGCAGTTGGATGTATTGACCGGGGTTCCTTTTTTGGAACGAAATGAACGACCATATTGGGCCATTTAGTCCCCCAATATATTTACGCAGACGCTCTGTATGTTTTGTCTTGGCAGTACAGTCGTGTCCCCAGTTCTCTGTCTTCTCCCTATCGCGTTGTCTGGCAGGCTCAGTGCAGGCATAACCAATAGACGGCCACCCACGATACAACACTACAACGCCGCTTAACTTTGCCAAATTGATCAGGTCATGTTAAGCTGTATACTCATAGTCCGAAACCAATAAACGATGCCGGATATCGATAGTGCCGACCACCTTGTCACGGTGATCATCTGTAAGTTTCAGGAGACTGAAATCGAGCAAAGGAATTCTGTTCTTTATAAGGTTAACAGAAGGAAGAACATGTGAGCTCATAAGGAAGGCTCAAAGCGAGAACTTAATATAATTTTGGATGCCATAGTCCACCTGTCTTTACAATGTGATGGATATGGGCCAAGTTCGGGCCAAGTTATTCGGTTCCGCCATCGTGTTTCTGATTGGTGTGCGCGTGGAATCATCCATCAGTCGAAAGCGACTAAGGTGTATGCGTGTGCGTACGCAGGTGAGTTGGTTAAGTCACTGAGGACACGTACTCTACGTATGATAGGGACCAACATTTTGTGATTAGCATGGGTCACGTGAACGTCAGTCTTCCAGATCCCAGTTCGATGTCTGAACACCGTGTGTATCAAATTGTGCACAAGTTCAAACCAGTCGAAGTACATACTCAATGACACCCAAAGTGCGCACACCAAGAAACACACTCGTTGACTGCAACGCTGACTTGGCCAAGATCTGTATCCACCTGAATCCAAAAATCTCAATAAATGAGTTCATATTAAGCATGCTGTTCCTTAGCACCTCATTCCGCCTTGACATATCACAAGTTTGTTTGTAAATGTGGTTTCCTACGCTTTCAAATTTATAGCGCTATTATTGGGACATACACTATTCCTGACTTTGCGCATTAATGTGAATCAAGACAACGGGACAGACTGTCCAACAGGTTAACTGAACTGCCACCGTGACATGCAATAGGGCAGCGCCAAAAGTTGTCAAATACTGAGCCCTGAAAGCCGGAAATGGCAAGAACAATTATACAATTGTTACCCATTGTTCACTTGTCAACCATGTGATCACCGGTTGGTTTCTGCCCGTAGTGTTTTCCCGATGTAGACTGGCCCCATACAAATCGGTTCAACAAGCACTATGCAATCTTCGTCATTGGTTAGTCCTCTTAGATATTTTTCTATATCAGATAAATCCCTGGATTGATTGGACAACTTTCTCGCCCAAATGACAAACCGCGCATTGTTAAATAAAGACTGATGTGTATCTTAACGTTGGAAGGCCGTGAACCCCCCTCATCTTTGTGCGCTTTTTAATCCCACCAAGTTATACTGCCTGCCATGCAAAAGGCAGGCAAAAATGGAGCCAAACAAAGAAATTAGTACAGTGCTACCGTGGACGGTTTGGNCTGAACCGAACGAGATATGTGTTGGAATATTGATAAAATGGGTGGATTTACTAGTGGCTATTAAGACGGCTGTTAGTCTGTTGGCAGCTGGAGTGGAAACTTCTGCACAACTCGAGAAAATATCAACGCACATTCGGATTGAACTTTTGAGTTGGTAACGAAACGTCTGAAAGCTGGTTGCCAAACTCAAAGCAGCTCGATGAAGAGCCGCTTGGTGAACTACCAACGAACAATTATATGCAGAAAAAATATCCAGGAGGTTTACTTTTGAGAGAACGTCTGGAGAATTTTCGCTTTTTATCCATCGTGTTGTTTGGGCAAAAAATATTGGTTGGCGTTTAAAAGATGGCTTCATGTTCAATGGGCTTTCACATAACCTACTCTATATAAGTAAAAACTATTTTATACTGGCTTTTAAGCACGTTGGCCCAGGGGATCTCGGAGTAAGCGTGGTTGTTAGAAAAAGTCACTGAAACATAATCTGACTGCTCGAATTTCTAGCTGGTTTTAATACTTTAGACATAAAACCTGGTGTCACAAACCAGGTATACGGCATTATGAAGCCGCCATACACTCAGGCGCCTCAATCATATCCACAGAACAGTGTTATTTGTGTTAAGCTGATAATTTGGAATGGTCAGCATTCCGATGGGTTTAGAACTGGGAATCTTTGAAAAACCGAATAAGCATAAGGCTGTTTGGTCACAGGTTCCCTGTCTTACTGACATTCAACTTTGCGAGTGGTTCCGGAGATTAGGGAAAATTGCTTAACGTTGGCACTAATATTCCTGTAAAGCATTCACATCTTCAAGAGAGACATGAGGCGGCCTGGTGCAGCACATTCAATTGCTTGAGAACATCACAAACGAGAGATTCAGCTGGGTTCCAGGTGAGTCTCCGGAAAAACCAAATTATTTTGCAAATGAGTGTATATTCGCTGACTTCGTGCAATTCGGTTTCAAGCAGAACATAAGGTTGACGGAAACCCGGGGACTGCGTTTGCCTGATGAGCCCCAAGAAGGGCGAAACCGGTCGTAGGCTGTTGACGGATTTTCAGTAACCTTATGAGTAGTACATTACAAACATATACCTCGACATCTTCATCCAAGACTATCTATAAACCTGTTATTCCCACTTAGTGAAAGGCTGAAAGTGTCCCTGTTTTGCACCAGTCTCCCATACAACAACCGTTATTTGTTTGCGCTTATCCACTGCTTTGGGAGGCTGTCAGACCATTAAGAACAACAAACTCGTTTGATTCTCTATATTTAGCCTAATTCCGTCGGTAAACGATTGTTTATGTTGATCGCAATGACACGGACAACTAGTGGGTAAATATCATTTGGGTTGTTTGGTGCTCCCGAACAAATTGCTTGCGGGTGTGATCGGTGGAGTTAGCACACTGGAGGGAAAATGGACTTGACCATCATGGTACACAACCTCTTTCAGAGACGTTTGTTTGGAATGTTCCGATGGCTGAAAATCCTACCATGCCCATTTTCCCGATTCATCTGATCCTGCTAGTCGAATTTGGCAAATGAGCTTCATCCCTGACGGAATACTAGTGTAACGGTGATACTACTGATGGAGGAGGCATGCGAGTAGTGTGGTTTCTTCTTGTACATTCGCTATGCGTCTCTTGAAAAGGGAGATCTGTTGCGGAATTTGTGGAGGCACTTTGTAGCATTTGCTTGGATTTAAGCAACAGTCAATGAATATCCAGGAAAGTTCAGGAAGACGCGTTTAACAGAAGATGGATGTTCAGTTTTTGTAAATAAGAAGCATATGAGAGTTTTGCTTCCCTGTCCAATAGCCTGTAGATGGTCAGTTGGCTTTTCTAGTAAATAACTCCGGAGGAAAGGCCTTCTTCCTTTCACCAGAACTGAAAAATTTGGTGGTCGACACGTCTAGACCTAGGAAGATGATAACCTGAGGGGAACCAAACACGAGTTGGCCGTTAACCGCTCACCGCTTGCCAATGAAGATAAACATTGACTTGCTGCGTACATATGTGCTTATACTTGAAGTCTACTTACGTTGGATCCTTACACGAAGGGATGCGCAACGCTGTACCCACAAATCAATAACCTATTTTGTTAGTTTTCTAGATCAAGTGTCAATATGTTGAAGTTTCACCATGTTGGAATTAATTGCAAACTGCCTGTTTGAGTGACTGTAAGGCATTTAAAGTGTGCGAATTCTACGTTTGGTTACCGGATTGCGCGAAGTTAGAGAAAGACTACATTGCAATGAAATTGCAATAAATAGACATTGTAGAGGTCACTCATCAGATCACGCGTCAAACCACGTGACAATTTTTGTCCTACTTGAAACCTTAGCCGACAACATGTACACCACAAATTTCATCCATTTTTGTTAGCGCGGCTACCACTTGAGTAACACGCCAGGCTTATGAACTTCAACACATAAGGTCAAGTTGTATTCATGTTTGTGCGAGCGTCAAACACGAAGAGACGCCCCTTTCTTCACACTGCACACAATAAATGGGCATACAACTAGGCTCAGCACACACTCGTGCGTACAGGACAGGAAGTCAGCAGAGCTACGCAAGTCACCACGGACAACTGCGGAACAAGTGCTGCAGCTATCTTGCAGAGAAGACAAGTTCCGCGTCCGAAATTTCACTCAGGAACTCTCAACAAGTGTCCTCAAACGATAAGTCACTTGTGGGCTTATTCCACTTTTCGCATTGTATCTATTTTTATCAAGTGCACCTAACTAGTGTATTCATCACATTCTAGTAAGACAGACATTTGTTAGTGCTTGCTACCTTCTGATAATTAACTTAATTACGTCACAACTACAGCACTAACTACATTAGTGGGTGCGAATGCCCGGATAACGAATACGGGGATATGACGGTTATCAAGTAAAATTCTTACCCTAAAGTCGAGTTAATATACTCACCTGTTTCACCATGGCGATTCTCGTCGTGTAAAGGTGATTGAATAATTCTGCCAATGAATCTTTTACCACCTCATCGCTCTTCAGAATGGTCAGTCGGGTGTCACATAGAATTTCCATCTACATAGTGAGGACGAGTCAAGATGGAGAGAACAATAACAGATGGATTATGCTCTATTTGAACGCAATTCACCAAAGTGATTTGAAAAGGATTTAAAATAGAAATCAACGGAAGATCAACCGAAACGCCACTTTGGCAGTGCGTGATCTGCTCTGAGCCAATTAATCCGAATGCTGTGTGCGGCTAATTAGCATAAAAATCGGTTCTGGAAAAGACGGGAAAAATTGATCGTTTTTCCCGTTAGCTAGAATAAACGGGAAGTGAATGAAATGGTTGGAACTTTCTGCCACAAGATCAAGCTTATTGACTTATGTTAGGCTCTACTAGAAAACAAAATCGACCGATCAACAAATTGTGAAGTCCCCAGCAGCAGGTTTTCACAATAGAATGAACCATGCATGACAGGTTACCACAAAATCAACTTAATGCCGAACTGAACGGCTTTCTTTCTTCAGTTTGTTCATGTTTGGACGAGAAGTTCAGCATTAGAGATCGCTGAGCATGATTGCCCCACTAAATGGACACAGTGAGTAATTCACAGTTTTAGCGTACCCTATCGTATAGTTTCATGATCTACGTGGTCATATCAAAACACTTTTTGTTCTGTTCACAATCGCGCACGAAACTTGATTTCTGCCACGCAATTTAGTAGCTCAACTCTACCAGCTGTACAAAAGTGCCTTCAATACGGAGAAAAGAGACGTGTCTGAAGGTCAACAAGCCGCTTGTTTTGCAAATGTTGACGTAATCAACAACGAACTGTGTAATTTTGTAGAGAAAATTCCGAATAGTGTGCAAATGAGGTAGCCAAAGGCTACACAGTAAGTGACCCTATGCTGATGGTAAAACTAATTCAATGGCTTGGGTATTCTAAATCAGAATGTCGCGCATGAAGTGATCATGTTCGAACTTTGTTTACCCGATAGTGGTCGTTCCTCTGTCATCACTAAAAGTCAACGCTCGGATTGCAACCCGGAGTCGCAAGAGGATACGCTTCGGATTCAATCAGAGCTAGTCACAGTATCTTTTGTCGGTTTCTCATGAACTCCGCCACAAAACAATTACCCCCCGTTTTCTATAGAGGAAAATGTCGGTAGCTCAGTTAGCGTAGATGGTCGTTGGCTTGTTCGCAGAGCTGGGAACCGTTTTGCACGTTGCCCCCGTTTTTTACGTTGCTTTATCAATGTACTTTGTAGGGTTGTCCTCAAGCCTGATAACTTCTTGTGTACTAATTCATACGTATATATAAGCATTGTTTGTAGTCAACCGTCGTCTACTTTGCAGGCATTGTGTTTGTGTGGCATAGGTCATCATCCAATTGAATGCACGCAGAAATCGCCATATTGCGCACACACCAGTGAAACTAGGTAGAGTTTAAACATTCCTCCCTGTTTCTGGCCAGAGTAGACAGGAGCTCTTGACAGAAGCTTCGAGCGTATTGTATACAACAAGTATTCTTCACCACGTCGGGATTCCAAATCTGGCCGAGGGAAGGCGGGTTCAAGTAGTGTTATTGACTGCCACGCCGACTATAGTCTGGTTTAAATTATTCTATCTATGGTGCAGTTTTGTATTTCAACCTTTAAATTCTTATTGGATAGGTAGATTTACGAGTCGATATTTATGCCATTCAGATATCAAGATTGCTGACTGCGTTTGGAAAAGTATGGAAAAATACACGTGTGTCTAGGACGTGGAGTAATTAGCAGAACAACACAAAGTACACTTGTTTCTTGTCAAAACATACGGAATAGTCAGTAAGCTCGATACGGAGTCAGTAGAATAACACAGCACAGCAGCTTTTTGTACATTAATTGGAGGGTACAAAGCGGTCGTTTTCCTATGCTTACAAACCGCTTGTACCACAAGTGAATTGATGTAGAGCTGCAGGAAATTTCCCCCATTTCCCTGGACTCCGTCGCTAATCACATTCCTAACCCCTGTCCGTGTTCAGTTTATATCAGCTGACCTTGATATAAACCTATGCCGTCCACAACCGGAGGACTAACAAAGCATCCCATTTTCCTCGGAGTTGGACTGGGTTTTAAGCAGCATTTCGGTTGCTCAGTAAGCGTCCTACGAGATCCACATGTGAAATCGGCTTGGATACACTTTAGTCAGGCGACCATTATGTCGCACACTTGTAAGGCATGACGGGAAAGAAATGGGCGTGCTGTCAACGAAAAAAACTAGCAGACCATCATGCGTTCACGTGTGAAAATTGTAAACAAATTATGAAGTACAGCATTCATAAGAAGCACATTCTTACTTTGCTCTTTTCCAAGTCATACAACCGGTTGTTCGCCACGTCGACGGCCTCTCTGTACGCGTACATTAGCTCAATTTCCTGTGCAATAAATAAATAAATAATATTAACCAAAATGGAACTAAATACACTGTGATTCAATCAGTCCACTTGAAACAGTGGAATAGGTCATTCAGATTTGTTGTTTACCACAATCGAACTCGGAAAAAACGTGTAGGCGGATTGAAGAAACAGGACGTTCCAGTATTCGGATCCAAACTTGTGTTTACCAGTCGACAATCAGATTATCATCGATTTTCCAAAACTTTCCTATATTTGGTTCTACTATGTTCTGTTGTCCTCAAACACGTTTGCAACTTTCGACATATCAACTGTTGTGATTTCAGTCTTTCGTGTTTTCACAATCCGTTAACTTGAATTTGATTAACTTGGTGGATAGTAGTTTGTATTGTTACCTAATTAAACGTTGGGCGCGCAAGATAGTAATCAAATTCAAATGACAATATGATTTCTCAAAAACTTCAGTTGTTATCGATTATTTATAGATTTAGGCTGATACATCCCATAAATGCAACCGGAATATTCATATATAAGAAGTAGGTTGTGATTCACGAATGGGTGTGCACACAACCGATGATACTAGCCGAAGTGAACTGAGTTCCCGAAAAAAAAAGAAAAATTGTCCAACTTCATTTTGGTATACTAATAATCGATCAGGAGAGAATTGTTGGACCTATTTTAATGAAATATTTTAAGATGCAATACAGTGGATGAGTGACTCAAGCGCTTCTGTCAACATGCTGGCCCCTCTTTAAATAAAAGAAAACAATTTAAAACCATCACGTTTCGTCACTGCCTTCTAAAATGCATCTATGCACTGTTATTTTATTTCGGTCGTTTGTTTGTGAAACAGCAATAAGATTATAAGCGATAAATATTGTTCACTTTCTGTCCCATTGTCCCAACACTTAGGAGATACCTCTAGGAAAACGGAATTGTGGGAGTGTGTACGAGGCTGTCGCGAGTAACGATTTCTTCAGGAACGGAGCCATGCTTTTGAAAACTGGGGATGGTTCATCCCGGTTTGCTTCAGTGAAATTTCATGAACTGTTTGTGTAAAAGTACAGCTCTTTGTAGAGGTCGGAGTGTGCGTGAAACTCATTTGGGAACATTTCTATTCAGATTTTAATGATAGTTTGCACCGGGTTACTATTTTTGTGTAAATTTTAACGGTCACGCATTCGCGTTTGTGCCACGCGCGTTTACTCTGGTTAGTCCACACCAAGGATGAAGAGCGCTGATCCCTAGTACTGCTTTTAATAATACTCAGCATCACTGCATCTCTTTCACCGTGTCCGGAGTTTGATCCCGGATATCTGAGAGTCTAGGAGACATATTTAGCCGCACTCCAACCAAGAATGTCTGAAAAAACGAACGTGTACATGTTTGAGAACTGCTGTTGGCTTGATCGCAAAAGTCTATAACTGTCAAATTTGCCAGTTTGAAGAATAATCCTAGATCTTCTCAGTTTGCCACGACCTGAATGGGTTACAACCCGCTTAGAAGCACAAAATATGTACGGTGTTCTGCGAAATATAAGACTACATGAGCGTGTTGCATGTCTTTGCGCCAGCTTCTCATTACATTATCCTGTTACGTGTGCAATCTGTGGACCTTGTGTGCTGAGAGTTTGACCACAATACCCCTCTGTCGGGCCGTCTGAACGGTCAGTTACACTCAGTGTTGACAGTCTTGTTAAATCCCAGCAAGCCAGCGAAAAATCCTGATTCACAGAAGCTTTCAGATGACTTCTGTTGGAATACTTGTTTCAACAAGTTAAACAAAGTATTTGATATCGAACTAGCTTGGCTTGAGTGGTAAGACATACGAAGTAGAACTGGTAATGAGCATGTGAGGAACCCTGGTGCCAAAATGTCTGTCTATCCGTTGGATAAGCTGATGTCTTCGCATTTTCAATTTTTAAAGCAACAGGTACGAAACTGCAGGGGTGAATACCTATCGGATAGGCTAATATCCATAGCCAGGATCTCGGTACATTCAAGTTAAGTGCGTATCTTCTATAAATGGTTCTCAGCCGGAAAAATATGAAGGGGATGCTTCTTGTGTACAGAATTAATTTTCACCCATCGCAGCTATCCACCCTATGTCTACTTGACGTGAATTCCGTGATTGAAAGATGAATGGGTCTATAGCTGTCCTAGGGGCAACTTTGTCACATTGCTGACCAGGCATTCACGGCCGAACGTTCAACTGTTCAATCGTGGGTTGGGGACCCCTTGGTCTTTCGTGAAACATTCAACTCTGATGACTCCCAATACGGATAAGACATCTGTGAACTTTTGATCGACTTTCCAGTATAAATTAGCTTCGCTTAAAACAGAAAAATCCCCATTGAAAATTCCCAAATCCCATCATTCCACAGACCGTTGATTTTTTTCTGTCTGTAGTTAAACCTTGTCTTCCAAATGCCATGCTTCATACATGGAAGCATTGTTATCTTTTAGATTAGTTTGGTTTCATAATATTTTTTGAAACATTGGATGACAGTTTATCGAAATCATGCTCAGCATCACCGCTAATCGAAGGAACTCACCTTCTTATCGTTGTCACTGAGCTGTTTTTCCAGGCGTTCAACTTTAGCCCGCTGTTTGGCCAGCTGCGTGGAAGTTGACCCACCTGCTCCTGAACTCGAGCTGACATCAGCAGTGATTGGCATCTCACTGTCCGGAGCCAGATTGGGCGCGCTACCCGCAGTTTGTGTGTTGGAATTGGAACTTGAGGCAGGGTTGGACGAAGCAACTCCCGTGGCATTCTGAGCAGCAGATGTATTTGAAGCAGCGGTGGCGCTGGTCGCGGACAATGTGCTGATTTCGTCATACATAATCTGCGCAGCCGCCAACTCTTCGCGCAGTTTCACTCCGGTCTGGCATCGTTGGTAGTAAGCAGCTTTGGTTTTAAATAAACTGTTCTCTGCATCCACTAAACGTTTAAAATCCGTCTTCCATTTGTCTTTTAGATATTTCCTTGTTCGTTCGAAATTCGTGCGTTGGCGAGTTAGGACCTGAGACGGGTACATGTGTCACGCAACCATGAGCTAAGACTCACTGAATCTAAGGCAACAATTATGGCTGAAATCCACTGATAATGGAATTATAGCGGAAAAAAGAACTATAGCTAAGTTCCTTCATACTAACTGGGTTCCTTTGAGACACGACAGCCATATGCTAGGTTTCTTGTCCTATCAACAATTATGAGAATTCCCGGGGCAGAAACAAAGAATTGGAACTCCAGCTAAATAAGTGCAGTATTTGGTTGTTAAATCGTACCACCGTGGCATGGTGGTACGTGTGCAATCCACAATATTCGAGAGTATTTGAGATAATCGCGATGCAATTGGATCTATAGTACAGTCTGGGAAACTTTGATGCAAGATTTACATTTTCGACATGAGTTACATTTTCGGTGCGCAGTGAAAAGGCGCCGAATGTGACCCGAGAATGATATGGAAATGTTTTGAAATCAAATGACTCAGGTCAGAGCACAGACAAACCACCGTACTGTGTACTCTTGCGCTAGTTTTTGTACATGGTAGGACCGTGGTCTGAGGGCAAAAGAGTCAGATCAGATCATCAACCAGGTAATTACATGATACTCGTCGTTGTACAGCAAAGCGTTGAGTCCTCTATATGAAATGGATTTCCCAAGTTGTTGTTGCTAATAACCTACAGTCATCCGGACTTCAACATCTTTGCCGACCGCTGTCTGTCGGAAAGTAGTGTCACAGAGTAAGTATGGACAGGCCAGATGAATCCAGAAAATGGGGTTGGTCATTGCTGAAAGTCGGGGAGTTGTTGAGCAACCGCATCATGCTTGGTTAGACGAGTTTGCTGCGCACACATTCCTAATCTCCTCGATGATCTTAATTCACAGCCCTTCAGCAGTTATCAGTTGAAAGACGAACAAATCAATGCTGAATGGGATAGGAGTAGAGTAATCCCTATGTCTTTCATTAATGAATGTTTCTATGAAATCAAATCACACTAGCTTTTTATGTAGGGTGTCTGAAACACAATGGTACCGTCCTTCAAGTGACAGCTGAACAACTAAAAAGATCTAGCAAATATTTACGAGGTAGAAAATGAGAATGACCGGCCTATTGTTGAGTAGGATAAGCTGAGGATTCGCATCTTCTCAATATGAGTTCATCTAGGTAAAAAATTTATGTGGATCTATCGGGAATCAGGGACTGACAATAGCCTAATACCGCTGTATGACTTCCATGTGAGTTTAGGTCTGTTATGTGATGTATGATGCGATCTGGGCTAGTTGAAAACACCTTGAAACCACTACAATGTAGTGTCAAGTAGCCTGAGTAACTCAGAAATGATCATTCGCTAGTGGTCTTATACAGCGTGAGTAATTCTCAAACCGTTGGATTGAATATATGCACTCAGCACATGGAAGCAGTCAGCTCCAGAAGCAACGAAGTTGTAGTTCAGTTTGAGCGATTGGGACCCACTAACTTGATAAGTATAGTCAGAACAGCCGTGTCCCTTATCAGCGACTCTTGTAAAAAGCGAAACCATTCAGTCCAACAAAGGTGATCCTTACGGTATGGAGGGGAACGTGCTGCATGATATATGTATGAAGTATGTTTGTATCTACGTATGTATGTACGTACGATGTATACTTAGTTGCCTTATTCTAAAAGGCAACCAACTAATCATAGCTACGTCAACAGGTATTGGTTAATCACAAAGTCACCGGAAACTCTCAAGTGTAGAAACGGTAACCAACTCTGCTGCATTCCTTTGGCATCTCTTGACGTGACTGAGGTCAGATGGTAGTTGCATTGTTTGTTAAGTTCACCAAACTTGGTGCAATACACAAAAGAATCCTCCGCAAACGGTGCATTCACCGGTGCATTTTCTGATCTACCAGCATTCTGTTTTGTTGTGACTATAAGTTAAGCCAATTTAAACCGTAGTTCACCAGAAAATCTTGTATCCTCTTGGTGTTACAGAAATTTTCACTGTGATCTATCCTACTACTAGTTTTCGTCTACAAATCCTGTCATTTTTCGATACTGTTTTTGCACAACCTATTTTTCAGCTTTATCAAAATTTGTTGACTTGGCATAGCGCAACCAGCTGAAAATTGACGTCAAAAATTGACTTTGAGAGGTTCTTGATGGGGATACAGCCAAACTTAGGTTACCTAACGCGTAGGAACCAATGCTACTCTCATGCTTGGATGAACAAATTATTGAGGTCGTTGTGGCTGTCGAAGACCTTGCGACGGTTCATGGCACATGTACGGCATTGCAAGAACGGCACTGACGTGAATCTGGTGAATAATGATGGTTGTCTTAGCAGGGCCGTGAGATGTGGGATAAACCACTCTAGCGAGTAGGAATACAGTGCCCTGTCTATTGAATATCCAGTTCTACGAAAAATGGCGTCGTCGGTTGGGCAATCAGGTGTTCTGGATGTAGCATGCATGGGGCTATAACTCGGTTTATTTTCCCGCTCACGTGATTGAGTTCCGTTCAGTCAGCCTAAGCATATTGATCATTTAGCTTGTAGAATCAAGTGTGTGCTTACATTGATTTCTATTCAGCTGGTTCATTGATCGTTTCATGCTGTGAGTGCCCATACGGTTTTGTGAGATCTTCGTACAGTCAACTCCCATTGGGTAGTTTTTCTCCGTTCCTTGATCCCCCCGGTTGTAATGCTGCATTAATTTAATGCGCTCACTGATGGCCGTGATCATATTCCATCAACACAACAAGCTGTATCCCGTTGTGTTTTAAACAGTCGAGGGGGTGGCTTAGTGCATATGCGGACATGCACTCAGTACCTCGGTTGGTCGACTGCATGAATTTCCAAGGCTAGACCTGGAAGACCCAAGTGTTTAGGCCACGGGTTGATGCTGTCAAATATTGGATGAGGTTTCGATGTTTGCTTCCACCTTGTTTTTCTGTACGACTCATTATTTTTTACATCAAAACAAGAATATGATTGTTAGATGTAACAAAATGGAAACACCAGTGGCTGTGTAGTGACGCTGATCCACCCGCATATGGAATGACTGAACTTGCTAATGAGATTCAAAGTTCCGTGATTCGTGGTTTATTCACTATGACTGAGTCTCTCTGGGGGAACCATGTTCCGATGAAATATTTTCCGACATAGAAGCATACAGGGTGCGTTCAAGAAGTTCATACTTCTTGTCGTTATTTGAACTATTCCCACTTTTTATCCACGGACAGTATCTCCGACCCACCAGCATGCACTCTGATATTGACAATCTGAGTGATCCTCCAGTTCGTTGCAGCAATTTCCAGGTTCTTTCAAGAATTACCGGTTTTTCAAGTGGAGCGTTGATTGGGCTGTATATTGGCCTACCAGGAAAGTCTTATACCTCGTGAGTAGCCAGATTGCGCATCGATATCCGCAGTTTGGCAGTCTAGGGATCATACTGGATATTATCAGTAAACACGTGACCAGCACCGAACGAAATACACCGCAGCATAATCTTCTTCTGTATTGGTACTGCCCACTCTGGTGCAACAACGTTAGCTGCGTGACTCCTTTAGCCAACAATTTCATGATCATGGAGACTGTGGGTGGCGGTGAAATGGTAACTTGCTTAGAAAGGCCCCCTACGAATCCCAGTAAAAAACGTTAAATATTATAGCTTCTCGGGGTCCAGTAACACAAGTTCTCCCAAATAAGAGTTGCTTCGGTCATTAAAGTACGAAAATGTTAACCAAGTGCAAACACTGACTAAGAACAGAGTACTACGTATACTTGGTCCTTGTTTTCAAGTGTTCTACTCAGAGGCTTAGTCGAAAGTATAGAGGACAGGGCAAGACCAGAAGATTAGGCTGCTCAATCTTCTAGTATGCAATTAAAATCTCCGGTTATTCTTGAGGTTTATCAGGTATGCACAATCCTCCATTTTTCTTACGCTTATGTTTTACTTAGACCCCCAAAATGCACGAGGTTACTGAACTGAGTGACTGAGTTGCATTTCTTCTATCGGGATAAAATAGCAAAGTTTTTCACACATCAGTGATAACAGTGGGATGCATCACCCAAGTGGACTTATCGTGTCCAGCTTTTGTTCACGATCAAAAGCAGCTATTCGATGGTCAAACAGGTGGACGAAGAAAGCAGTATGAGTATATTAATTTGAACAATTCTCAAATCCCTATTCACAAGTGTAACTGTGTTGTCGGTGATCTTTGTCGAATGCTGTACACTTGACTTGGATTGACCAGTTTGACTATATACACTGATACAATTTCGTTAGTGCTTTTCAGAGGAAAATGCCCAAGAGCTTCAACCGGTGTAGTGAGCGCTCATTAGCATTAACCACCTTGAGAAGCGCTTTTATTACACACTCATAATGTCGGTAAGGGAGAACCGTGACAGCGGTCTCACTGTCCGTTGGACAACAGCAATTCTAAGGGGTCTAATCCGTAATTTTGTATGGTGAAAGAGTCTTTCAAAAAATATCGTTTTTTCCAGTAAACATTAACTGAGTGTGAATGAATGAATGAATAAATAAATAAATAAATGAGGGAGGAAGTGAATAACTAAGTAGGTAAGTAAGCGGATGGGGAATGAGCTGTTGTCTCGTAAGCTTATCCGTTTTCCAAGTGAAAGTTCAAATGTGTAAGAAATGTGACCACCTCTTTGGCCAAGAAACAACACTTGGTGACAAAAGATTTAACCTTTAGTAAGAGTTTTTAACCAATAGTTCCGAGACAGCATACGCTACCCAACTTACAACAACAGTTGCTAAGGTCAGAGCACCTGTTGAATGAATACGATTAGAACGTTACATTCGGTGAATGAATGATGAATAAATAAATAAATAAATGAGGGAGGAAGTGAATAACTAAGTAGGTAAGTAAGCGGATGGGGAATGAGCTGTTGTCTCGTAAGCTTATCCGTTTTCCAAGTGAAAGTTCAAATGTGTAAGAAATGTGACCACCTCTTTGGCCAAGAAAAAACACTTGGTGACAAAAGATTTAACCTTTAGTAAGAGTTT